GCTCTTCTCTGGACCTGCTCCAGCACTTCAATATCCTTCCTGAACTGAGGGGCCCAGAACTGAGCACAGTACTCAAGGTGTGGCCTCACCAGCACCGAGTCCAGGGGCAGAATCACCTCCCTGGTCCTGCTGACCACACTGTTCCTGATCCAGCCCAGGATGCCATTGGCCTTCTTGGCCACCTGAGCACCATTTTCCTCAATTCTTAATCAGCTGTGTCCATTCTTGTTTGATAAGTGAGTTAGAATGAGAAGCCATGGGAAGCTGAATGGCGACACCTTATTATGAACTTCCCTATCACCATGATAAATCCTTATACTCCACCTTTTTATTCATTAAAAGAAAACAAAATCAAATTGTGCAAACACTGGCAAATTTGATATTTAAAAAAGTTGTTCCAATTTACACCCTCACACTGGAGAAAACTCTAAAGGGCCCAAGATTTAATTTGAAGACTTAAAATGTATAAATATTTATTTTATTTAAACACCATCCTATTTAAACAGTTAGTTCATTTATTAAATAAAAGAAACACTATAAAAATACGCCTTAAATGAAGCTATATGGTTCAAAATGTTTGGGATTTTTAATATCTGGGTCAAAACGTTTATTTAGTGAAAGCTTGAAATACAACATCTTTAATAAATTACATGTTCTGCAAGGAATCCTAATAACTTACACAGGAGAACAATCTCCAAACAACCCATCCCACACTGACTCATAAAGGTAAGTGCAGTAAGACAGGAGATCTTCGTCATAGACTTTCCAAAGCTTCCTCTTTGCTTACGTTCATGCATTTCTGTGTTTATGTTAATTTTTTTCTATAAAGAAGAACATTTGAGCAATAACAAGAACTCTGGAATTCGTCCTTGGATGGAAATGAATCTCTAGGAACTGCCAAGTTCCATATTTACTCAGAGACTGAATAGAAAACTGCAGCTGTGTCTGAAACTTCTATGATAAACAAAATAGTCTTACAAAACTCATCGCATCAAAATGGGATCAAAATATTGGTTTGCAAATCCACCTCCTCTTTGTAAATCTAGTTTATTTTTTCCTGTTGTTTTTCATTGCTGTATTGGAAACTTTTTTCAGCATTGGAGGCAGATTCAACATTGGAAGCCTATGCATTTAGTGGGAATAGTGAAAGGAATAGGCACTGCTGTAGCTGCAGCATTCAAACAACTTAGAACTAGTCTGCATAAAATTATATAGACCTTATACAGCTTAGTGTAACTTTATACAAAAAAGGGGATTTAATTTATAATTTCTTTACAATTTCAGTCTTCATTTCAACCTGTAGGAAGTATTTAATGATCTGGCAACATTTTACAGTTTGCACAGATGTAATGACCATGCATTATAGGAATGTGAAGGATTAGTTGCAAAATAAGAGTCATCAGTTACAGGTTTTTACTGTATCTGCCTATTGTCACATTCAATTTGGGATACTTACAGCACATCAGTTTATGTTTTAAGCTTATAGATTTTCAGTCACCCTATCTATGCAGACTTCCCTGCAGAAAGTGCACACTCTCTAGAGCTGCACAGGAATTCACAAATGCTAACTGGGCCTCTCTGATCAGAAAGATTAAACAAACATTTTGATGAAGTTAGAGGTAAAACTGTTTGCTCAATTATTACACACATTACAAAGTAGACAAATGATAGAAATTCAAAAGGTTTCCAGAGTTCTGGCTCTTGGTCCCACAGTTCAACCATTAAAATCTTTCTTTTGACATAGCTGGGGCCTTTAATGATTGGAACAAATTATCTTTTGTGAACAGTATGATTTAAGTTTGATTTTCTTTGTGGAAATGGTTTGAAAATCAACTTAGTTATCTACTATAACTGTTTATTTGTTCTGGAACAGGATGAAAGGTTTTTGATGTGACCTTGTGCTGTAAAACTCTTTGTTCAGCCTGGTTGGATCTCTTCACACATGCTATAGTGTTTGTGAAGGAGAGCTTAAACTCTGATGCAGTTATTTACGACTCCTAATGAATGATCCTGGTACCATGAAAGTATGGTAATAATCAAGCCATACAGTTTACAGAGGCTGAAACTGCAAAATCTGGAGTGAGACAATATAGGCTAGAAAAACTCAATGTACTGATGGAAGAATGGAGTGAAAGGATGATTAAACGGCTAAATTCTCGAGGACTTGGGAGACCTGAACCAAAATCCTGAGTTCTCCACCGAAACCCTGCTTAAGAAAGAGCAACCTTGTCCTGTCCTCAGCAAGAACCAGCTGCTTGTGTAACATCTTTTGAGCTGTTAACTTTGCATTTGAAGTGAAGCCAATAATCAACCTGAAAAACCATAGTGGAAAGACAATATTTATTCTTGTCTATACCAACTGCAGGCCAGAAATATCAACTGGCTGTTCATATCCTTGCTGTTCCTCTGACAATGGTCATTGCTCTGCCACCTCCATCAGGCTGAATGGGGAGTCAATTGTTTGCATGGCCAAAGTCTTGATAACAGTTGTGGCAGCCTCAGGTTGAAGGCAAGATAGGAGCAACTGTAGGAGGGGGAATGGGATAAAGAGGAATAGAAAGGTAATGGGATTACCTTTCTATTTGGCATCTCCTGCTCTGGAGGACAGGACAAAGTCTGACCTCATTTTACCAAGAGCCCTTCTCATATTTTGTCCTGTTTCTGTGAGAACAGGACTGAGCTAAGCATCTGAGTTGACTGTAAACTGACAGTAGGTAAGATGTAGCTTGGATGCTGCACTTTATTTCTTGGGGATTTTTGTTGCCTGTGTAAATGGTACATGTGAATACTGCACAACATGTCACTGCACTGAAAAACGGGCAAAACATGAATTAAACAGGCTGTGAGCTGACATTGTGTGTTCTGTGTTGTGCAGAGGGTGCTGCAGGGGATTTCCGTTTCTGTTGGGGTCTGCATGCTTTGAGGGAAGAGCAAGACTTTAGGCAGAGGGTCCAACCTACGAACATCACTTAGAGGCCCTTGTGAATGGCAGGTCCTCACAAAGAAAAGCAATATCTGCTCTTTCATGGAACATTGAGTTACCAGCTGGCAGACTAAAGCTACTGAAAAGATTTCAGTACTTTTAGCTGCCTTAATTCAGATTTTAACTTCCAAAGGGACTGAGGGTGGTCAGCACTGCTCAGAAATGGGCTCTGAAAAGCAAGCTGACACAAAGATTTAAAAGTAGGTAAAATTCTGTTGTTTCAGCTTTGGTATAATGGGAAGTGAAGGAAAGTAGCCTATTCCTTAGTAAGAGGATACAGGATAGAAAAGAAAATGCCAGGAAATCTGATTTCTTAAAGTAGTTTATTTTCTGTTTTACATGCTTACTGTATAGCAAAATAATGTGCCTGTGTATTTACATTGTTTAAATTAATGTGATATTCATATAATAACATTTTTACATTTTACTTCTCAGTACCAAATACTCAGAAATATCTTCCATTGCCTCAATAACCTCGGTATGGAATTCCTTTTATGCAATGGTTGCATGAACTGCATGCTTATGATGGAGACAATGTGATCAAACTGGAGATTCCAGAAAGCCTTGAAGTGCTTCATCACAGTTGTCTTGGACAATATAAAGAATGAGCAATAGAAGTATTTATAATAAAAGATTATACTGGATTATTAAAGAAGAACTATGGAAATTGCCCATCAGTCATCTACAGTGATCTAAATCCTGTAGTCTTTATATATACCTTCATTGCTCCATCCAAGTTCTGATGAATAAAGATCACATAGTTGCAGTCTGAGTTCACTTATGTCACCAGACTCCTTTTCCCTGGGTGACTGTAAAGGCTGTAACCTTCAGTGCTTTGAAAAGAACAAAGTTTCAGAAGATATTAGGTCCTCTCCAACTCAGTTTTGGACAAGGCTCCTAGAGGTAAAAATGCACTATGAGTTTATCTTCTGTGTAAACCCAATTTAGATCAAAAATCCTGTCCAATTGGAGAAAAGTATCTTGTATTAAAATCACTTCGATTAACTCTACAAATAAAATGTAGGTATTATTAGAATTTTAAAAGGCTGTTCTTGAATACTCTGGAATTTCAAGATTCCTGTTACCTTCAGTTAGATTTCTAATGTAGTTAGGTGGTGTTCTCCTTCATGTTCTCAGTTTCTTCTGCTTGTGAGATTATGCCAGTTGTGCTGAGCTTTTATTTTTCCATTAATTAACATTACAAATATTAATTATACTTTGTGAATACTAAAAAACCAAGTCTCTGAGCTGAAGCATAGGTATGATTGTAAATAATGTTCACTTACTCAAAAGGAGTAAGGGAAGTCTTTCACCCTAAGGTAAGAAGGGTAAGGAATCTCCTGCGACAAAGGAAACCCAGCTCCCTTCATGTAGCTGCCAGCAGCTTTCCTTCCACTACTGCTATGTCTTTTTTGAGCTCCTTTCCATACATACAGGCTCATGTAGACCTGTAACTAACAGGAGCAGAGCTGCTGCAAAAAGGCACTGCTTGTCAATCAAACAATCGAATAGTTTGGTATGACTGAAGAGAGCAAGTAAAAGCCCAGATGCACACATCTAAAAATCCGTTTGAATAATAGCCCTACAAGATTCACTTAGCAGAGCTTACTCAAATATAAGCCCCTCCCAGACCAAAAATGTAGTCTAAAAAACTGTTTGAGTACCATAAGTAGCTTCACAATCCTGATGACAGCTTCTACACTGGGGCTCTGTTCAGAGTACTGTATGTGTGTGTATGTACACCTTCAAAATGCAAACATTCCAAATGATACATGCACCAAATACAATTCAGCCATGGAAATGTAAGTAAGCTACTAAATTAGATCCAATCATGAAAAATGTCCAGTAACATTAGAAGCAGGTCTCTATATAGAGTTTCCATCAAGACCAAACTGTTGGTTTCCCACACAGGCTGAACACTACCACATGTTTATTCTGTGGACCAGTAGTAGATGGATATTAGTGGAGACTGATATGTTAGAATGCTTTCTTCCTGTAATAATTTCCTAAAATGCTGCTACCGGGGTAATGGCAAAGCAGGTGTTTTCCTTGGGTAGTCACTTGAAATGGAAGTTCTTAAAGTGTCCAGGGAGTTTTCCATCTGTGCAGGCTCTGATTTTCTGCACCTCTTTGGGAACAAGTCCTTGTAGAATTCCACGGCTTTCTTCTGGAAGTGCTTCCCAACAATTACATACAGGACTGGGTTCAGGCAGCTGTTGCTAAAGGCACAGTATACAGCTACCTGGGTCACTAATCCATTGATGTCTTTCAGGCATTTGAGAGTGGGTACGAGGTAACAGATTGTGTCGATGAATGTGGTGATCTGGAATGGAAGCCAACAAAAGATGAACAGCAAAAGCACAGCAAGGACCAGCATGGTGGCTCTCTTCTCTGTCTGGATTACCTTCATTTTTTGTAGCTCACTACTTCGTAAGGCTTTGATGATTTGCATCGTGCAATAGGTAATTACACAGAGTGGGATCAGAAAGCCCATGATATTCAGCAAGCAGTTGTTTGCAGGCTCCCAGTAGCTGTTTGGGTAAGTAAGAACACAGGCTGTGATGTTAAATGTTTCAAAATATGTTAAATTTCGGAACACCATCGTAGGTGAACACATGAGCAGTGCACATGCCCAGATGATAAAGCTATTCCATTTGGCACAGACGGTCCGTCGCATTCGTCCCAGAGACATGGTTTTCACCAAGGCTAGGTAGCGGTCAATGCTCACTAGTGTCAGGAAATAAATGCCAGAATAAAGGTTCATGGAACCCATAATGTTGACAGCTTTACAGAGAAACAGGCCAAAAGGCCACTGAAAATTATTGGAAATATTAATGGCCCAGAAAGGTAAAACGCAGACCAACAACAGGTCAGCAAGTGCCATGTTTGCTAGGTAAATTTCAGGTACTGTGCATCTGCTCTTGTGGAAACACAGGACACTGAGGACAAAGGAATTTTCTATGGCTCCCAGAACAAATAGAAACCAGAGGAATCCAGGCTGAAAGTCCTGTAACCATTTCCATACATTTGGATTAACACATTTGTATGAATCTATCTGATCCACTCCTGAATTATTGTAGGAAATTTCCGGACTGACTGTGAGCTCCTGGGTGTTCACGTTGTACAGTTGTGTAACATTTTCAGTTGTGATGGAAACCATTTCTCTGCAGAGAAAAATAGGTGACATGAGATTGCTACATCTAGCTCATTGCTGCAAAAGACAAAATCAGAAAAGCTGTCTCTGCTTTTCCTCAAAGTGTGGCTTTGAACAGGCTTGCAATTCCCTGGGTTGTTTATTCATACACACCATGCATGCTTGCAGAGAGTTTCACAGACTGCAATGCTAAGGGCTGTGTGGACCAATGTTAGGCGAGTTAAATAGAGGGGATAAAGCAACAGCAGATATTGTATGAACAGGTCAACTGAAGACAACATTTACCAGCCTTTATTCACTAGAAACAAGCTGCAGCAAGTCTCTTTTAATACCTTGAGAAGTTTTATCATTAATTTGTCTTATGTCTGAGCATCAATAGCCATGGTTTCCTAAAGGACAGACATAACTTGTGTGTCTTTCATTGCTTAGTGCTAAGCTAATAGTTCTGTATCACATCCCTCAACATTTTACATCCTCTCCTGCAGGGCAAGAGTTAGGTGGAATTCAGTGGTGCTTTCTCCCCAAAGAACACTGTATTTTTTCCCAAATGTTATGGCTGTCACAACAGACATTTAGTTTGCAGCTCTAATTTGCACTGAGAAAGCTGCAGGAGCAAGGATCAGTGTTTGTCAGCTGTGTGCCTTTCTCAGCTTCTCATTGGGATTGCCTATTCTGTCTCTGTGTTACAGTCTCTTTCTGCAAGAGAAAAGGTAACAGGTACAACCTTGATGAGGGAACTTGGTTTTAATAGGTGGGTCAGTCAGCAGTTTGGCAGAGACACTGGCCATCATGTAAGGCAGGACCTGATGCAGTCAGGCTGCTGCCATCCAGCTTGGGTGCAAGAGCACAGTCTGAAAACCAGGAGCTGTACTGTAACTATTCTATAAGTCAGAACAGCTTGGGGTCTTACAGGCAGCTATTTTCAAGCATAAATGCCAGACGTGCCACTTAAATGTTATTAAAACCAAACACCTGTTGAGTGTGCAGCATCACTCAGCACTGATCAAATGTTAACTGGGCTTTTTTGTTGTTGTGCTCTTGCATAATGAATGCTGAGATATTATTCAAAGGCAAGATGGGCTTCCCAGATCTGTACATATAACTCACTGGACTGGGTGACAGAAATACTGTTTGTCTTTTTCCAGGTCTTTATAATACAACTGTTCATATTATGGTTTGATTGGAAGTTTTTCAAATGTATTTTTAATTAAGACAGTTGTCCTATTCAGCTGGTAGCTTGGCAGTAAAAAGGGACACATTTGTAATTCCTCAAAGGATGGGGTTCTCATTTGTGTTCTGGTTACTGGATTTGTTGGCTGGTAAGTGTCTGTGTTTAATATGCATATAGACATTTGGCTGTTGGTTGCAGAACTGCTGAAAAATGGAGGTGCTATTTTGTGTCCATCATGTTAATAAAACACTGTAGTGCTTGAAACCAAAAGCAAAGATGAAGTCTGTGTCTTAGTAAGTACAGTAAAGGCAATAACAAAAGAGAATCTCTCTATAGTGTAAAATTTATCACAGAGGTGTGGGGCAGGACAGGTCAAACATATAAAACAGGCAAGTGGGTCTGAGAAACTCGAAAGACAAGGCAACCTAAAATAGATTGATGAGCACAAAAGGTCAGCAGCACCTGTCCAATCCTTCATAACTTGAGCCAAGGACACTATTTTTGTAAACTAGGTAACAACATATTCTCATTCTCCAGGTTCATCCTTTCAAAACCTCAACTTCTTAAGCCCGTATGTAGCTGCAGGTACGTATCTCCATCTTCTGTCCTCCCCCTTTGTTAGCCTTGTCACTGTTAGAACTACCTTAGTCTTGGGACACCTGTGTCCTTTGGATTACTGATTGTTTCAACCAGCATCTGAAGAAATGGTTGGTGTAACCTCTACTGCATGGTATTGCATATTGTGGACACCCATCCAGCGACCTCTCCTTTTAGAGACATTGGTTATTTGGAGCTTTTAATTCTAGTGGATATGGAGTTATTTGTTCTATACTAAGAGAAAATGCCATGTGCAGTGCATGCTATGCAGCACTGCCAATGTTGTTTTACATCCTTTTTATAACTTCGAGGTACAAACAACACTGTAGGTTGTAAATGCTTTGGTTAGAAATCTTGGGTTTCCTTTTGTTTGAGCCCTTCCAGGCATAGCAGAGCACCTGCACATATAGTGCATTTTTCTGTGACTTTATTTGCTCATATTTCAGTAGAATGGAATCTAGGATAATACCAAAAACCCCTCTGAAACCCAGATATGCTTGATCTATTGCTTCTCCTTTATCCATTAAGGCAGATTGGATTAGTCTAATGTAGTCTCATCGTTGACAAGTTGGTAATTCATTATCACTTGGTTCTTTATTATTCTCTGTATGTGGATATACTGATTACTTAATATTTTGCTGTCATGTTTTCCAGGTATTTAAATGAGAGTGACAGGTTTGTAAATCCCTGGATCCTGTAATCTATGCCTTTTTCTAAAGATAGGTATTGTGTTTTGTCTGCTCTAGGCTTCCAAGATGTCCCCATTCTTCTTGGTTTCACAGACTGATAGCAAAGATTTCTTCTCCTAATTTCTGAACCACACCAGAGTGGATTTTATACAATCCTGCCATTTTGCATAACTCCACATATTCTTTAAATTGTTTCTTCCCAATTTACATAATTCAATTTTTCAAATCAATCATCTTAAATATCAGATCACAATTTCCATTTCTGAGAGGACTAACACTGAGCTGTCCTCGAACTTTCCATCATTTTCTGAGTTAATGCTTCCCTTTTCCTTTTGGTAACAGGCCTGGACCTTCCTCCAATATCCTTCTATTTTTGATGTATTTATAGAAACCTTATGTCACCTCCTATGTCTCTTATTAACTGCAACTCATTTTTGTCCTGATGTTTTTGGTATCTTTGATGTTCTGAGCTCTTAAATAATACCTCAGATAGCCATTCTTTTCTCTAATTAATCTCCCTGTAGCAGAGCCTGGCATCAAGGTGCTGGTATTCACAAACACTTAGATATCTCAACCCCCAAATTTTGTGGCTATAAGAGATGCCACTAAAAACCTGGAAACAGCAGTTTCAAGTCTCCCTTTCTATGTACCCTGGCACTTTTCACTGTGAAAACACATAGGAAGTGAAATACTAATGGATGATCAACAAAAGGTCATCTGAGAACAGAGTTCTGTTGTGCAATGCAATTAGCAGAAGCTATTCCTTCTCCTGGTGAACAGGCTGTGAACCAGCAGAATCTTCTGGTGAACAGGCTGTGAACCAGCAGAAAAAGATTGTAAGTGCATTATTTTATGCTTTGAGTTTGAATGTATGCACATATTTATTAAGATGTTAATTGGCAATTCAGAGAGTAATCATAAAGGCTGTGTTGGCTAAAAGATGTTAATTGGCAATTCGGAGAGTAATCATAAAGGCTGTGTTGGCTTTTTTGATGACTTTCCCTCATTCTATGACATAGAAAATCAAAAGCAGGAATTAATTTGCAGCAAATAGCAGCTTCAAAACTGCCTATTGGTTTATTGATATTTTCCTTACAATTAATCTCTTTTAGATTATGTTTTTAGACAGGAAAGTTCAAGAATAGTTTAAAGTAAGTTAGTTATATCATACTGTGGTCTAGGTGCAGTATGGAGGGGCTAGTTAGGATGTGACCAAATCCATGGCATGGGGTTTCTGGCAAACTGCCTCCTTGGTTCTTAGCCCTTTCATAAAGCATTGGTAGAAACAGGAGAGAGAACAAGGTAAAACGTGCAAATGATTGATTAAAAACCGTAATGTGTATGGTTAAATGATGTGCTCGGTGCTATTCTGTATAGCACAGGAAACTCATTTAAGGTATGTACTTACTGAATAAATTGTGATTGACAAACCCACAATTTAGAATTTAGAAATGTGGAAAAGGCAGTGATTTGCCATTTTTTATTATAGTTTGGTGAAAATAAATGTGGTCATTTCACGCACTCTCTGCAAACACTTTCTGTGCAAAATAAGACAGGCCTAATGTCTCAGCTGGGCCTCTCAATAAGATTTTATCTGACAGTTTTGATTGAAACACTGCCCAGCTGAAGCAATCTATCATTGCTTGTTCTGTGGGACTCCTGTGGGGACTGAATCTGACCCTGATGGAGTTCACCTTCTACTGTGAGTTACCTCCTCCTTGACAGTCACCAAACACGCAGTCAGTCATCATACCATGTTGTTCCAGAGTATTTTTCCCACTAGCATTGGAAACAAATGGCAAGGTTTCAGCTATGGGGGGCTGCAGAGTGCTCTGTGTGGGAGGCAGTTGTGGCTTGCCCAATGCTGGTGGCAGCCAGTTCTGTGCCTCTTGTAGATACTGCACTCACCAAGGCAAGAAGGCATTGGGGTTGACTCATGCAGGGGCACTTTGAGTGATGGCCAGATTCTGTCCATGCTGCAAAGGAAGAACCATTGTGGAGGGTATGGGAAGAAAGGGCTAATCAACTGTAGTTTCTGGGCTGTTGGATCATCATTATGGGTGAGAGGAGAGTGACCCCAAAAAGGTGGTGGTCACCAGTGCCATAGCCTGAAAGCTGTGATGGTTGGCACAGTCACTAGTGTGCCTTGGTATAGCCTGGTAACCTGGTGGGATGTCCTGCTGGTCAAGGGCTGATCTGTATGGACTGGACTGGAGGGAGCATGCCAGAAGACAGGCATGAGTTTATCAGCAAGCCAAGGATAACACCTACAGTCCAGGAGAGAGGAGTAAGTGTCATGTGTGGTGGGTAAGTCTCCATGCTTTAACCATACATGCTGGGGCCTATGCATGTTCTTGAAAGAAAAGAAGGAGAATATGATGAAGTGAAACAAAAAGCCCTTTAAGGATGAAGAGCTGTGAGCTAAGGAATGGAAGGACAAGGAATAAAAGGGTCAGAGCTTGGTCAATGCTGCTACTGGCTGTGAGCAAGCTCCAGGACAGCTTTACTCCCCACATGGGGCATGCTGCTTTGGGTGAACATTTTTCACA